AGGCGATTGTGCCAGGGGAGCAGGGGGGAATTTAACAGGCTTAAACATCAGAAAATCAAATAGAAATCCACATTTTATGCATGAATAGCACCACAGTGCGCACTTGTCCCACAGCTTAGCGACCAACATTTACAGCGGCAGAGAAAATAAATTCTCATTGGATTAAGAGGGAGATTCAGATGACAGTGTGTGTCTACCCCCTCTCTCCTACTCCTGCGCTCTCTCTCTCTCTCTCATCGTCCCGGTGAAGATTTAATAATTCATTCCTGTAGATCTCAGGGGATCTGGCAACCAGCAGTCCTGTTGCTTTCTCATGTTCATTTGTCCGAGGCCCATTTGCATCTTGTGTGTAAACTCGGCCGTTTGCAATTGGAATTCGCTCTTTTTCTCAGAATGGGGTGTCCTGCTTGCTGGGCTGTCCTCAGCACACGGGACACGCTTTGTTTTGCCCTTTGCCATAGGTCACAGTTATTTCCACATAAGAGCTCACAGCATTAATGGAATAGACTGGAGGATGTGTGCTTCGGTGGAATAGGGCTGCTGACTTTGACTAAAACAATTTGGTCCCCCTTGGATTTAGCTAAAGTGAACCAGCAAGAATATGGGAATGAAGCTGGGTTGTCATTTTCATATCGCAACGCTTTTAGAATATCTACTTTATAAGAGAACATTTTAATGGCAGCTTGGTATATTCTGGTAATTTTACAGTGTTCATTTCTGTCAGTGCCTAATGACTGTTAAATATGTTTTTTTTAGAGAAGAGGAGCTTTACATATTATTCTTTATTTGGCAAGTAAATTGTATAGTTACAGTTGATAGTACCTTCACAAGGAACTGGAACTTGAGTTGTAAGAGTGATACACTTAATATTGCAAACACAATGATTCGGAGACGACGGAACATAAGAGACATGCACATAGTATTGACCTTTTACTTTTGAAAAAATTACCATCGCAAATATAAAACCATATGTAAAATGTAGTGTTTTGTAGCCAAAATAATTACATAGCAGGTACGGAATTGTTTATAGTCTGTAATTTTCTCCAACCATTGGCATGTGTGGTATTAATTTTGGACTGCGATAAGCATTATTGCTACTATTAAAAGATTTCAATAATTCATATACTAAATGACACAATAGTAGAGTGGTTTTACTGGACTACAGTGTTGTCCACAATAATTTTAGTAAGTAAATCAGATTCTCTCCTTCTCATGTTTGCTTTGGTCACTGTCTCATTCTCAATGTATCATTTTCATTGTAGACACACTGTTGATGGAAGATATTCTGGTAGCTAGATTTAGCTGGGTAAGTGCTTGTTCCTATATATATTCATCAAAGAGCAAGCTATACTCTTGTGATGCATATCACCTGTAAAAAGAAACTGAACTATCAGCACACGTTTGGCGTAAGTGAACACTTAAGCCTTTGTTGAGTGGACGCGGCGTAGTGTTTATGCGTGTCAGCTGTGAGAAATTTGCCTGCCGTATTCACTCTTGAGTTCCTTCATCAGCCTTGGCCAAAACAACAGTCTCCTTGGCTCTTTAGTGTGTCTGCACGCATGCTGATGACTACTAAACAAGAATAGGTGTAATATAATGACGCAAGTTCGAGATTTCAGAATTCTCTGGACATGTCTGATTAATTAGTCTTTTTTCTGCCAGTTTGATTGTTTCTCTCACACTTTCCCGTAAATTTCTGCAGACGCCTTGCAGGATTCCACGCCACCTATGAAATTCAAAACAAGCCTTGTAAGAAGTTTACGGTCATCTGTGGGTCCTAATAAAAATGTAGGGGGATGTGCGGAGAGGATAGGATAATTTAAAACGAGGGAAAAGGGATTTCGCCATGAAGCAACTAGACTTTTTGTCATCTTAATTAAAACAGTAAAATCTTGTAATCTACTGGGCATTTACAACAGTATGAAATGAAATCATCTTTGCTTGCTCAAAATCTGAGCCATTTGCTGTGAAAATCTTTACCAGTATTTCATGTCATTGTCCACATTAGTTGTAATGTATGAAGTTAATCAGAAGTCACAGAACATACAAATAATATTATTTGTGAACTTCATGCTGTTAGCAGAGGAACATTTTATTAATTAATGTAAATTATAGTGCATCATTTTCTGTCATTTAAAGGAGCCTCTTATTTAAAGGGACAGTTCACACACACAAAAAACAGTCCATTCTTGTCTTGTCAGTACAATGAAAGTTGATGGGGACTGGTGCTGTCAATCTCCAAAAAGAACAAAAACAAAATCACAAAAGGTTATATTATTCCGATACACTCTCTTAAGGCAAATTATTTGTGTGTGCAAATGGCTAAAAATTAAGTCATTATCAATAGAAAATCTTCCCCATTTACTTTCAGTGTATAAAAAAGGGTAGCTTGGACAATCTGCTATAGATCTCCTTCCTTGTCCCAGAGAAGAAAAAAGTCCTACATATTTCAAAACACATAGTAGTGAGTAAATATTGAATTACAGAATTGTATTTATTTATTTATTTATTTTATTATTATTTTTTTGGGGGGGGGGGGGGGGGGGTTGAACCGTCCCTTTAAATTAACTGTTATTGACTTGTCATCCTTAAAAAAAAACATAGCATAAGAGCTGTTTGGTCTGTTTCGAGACTGTAACATCTGAGTGGATTTTGCCATGTTCATCCCATGAAGCAATGTAATTCATCAAGATCATTCCACATGGACCCATAGATACGCCGTCAAACAAACAATCAGCAGCTCTTTGTATCTGGGCCTGTGTGAAACCCGACCCAGCGGAGCATCATGTGCAGCCAGGCGCCTGCTTGCTTTACAGTCATGTGGCGATAGAAGGTCTATCAGCAGACGGATGTATCCCGATGGTGTAAAGCCACTCTCGCCGTTTCTGGAGGGTAGCGATCGCCCCCGGATCGGCATCCTGTAGCTGCATCTTAATCTTAACCATATAAGAGAAGCCACAAAGCTGGCTGCAAATCAGTTACAAAGGGTAACTTATTCCTATGTTGTTTGTTTTGAGCATGTTAATCCTTGAACGGTTCTCCTTCAGCAATGAGGGAGGCTCTCCTAATAATAGACAGCTTCTTTTAGAGTTCTGCTGCATTAATTCCTCATCTATTTACAGTGCAGGCCTTCAAAGATGATGAGCTTGGACGCAAAACTTTATGCAGTTATACATACTCAATTCGATGGTTTTGGTGTCATTTCAGCGAGCTAAATGAATAAATATTTGCACTTCTCGTTCTTGTGAAAGAGATTAATCGGGATGGAAAATGGCGGAGCGAGATATAAGATGCCGTACGGGACTGCAGGTGATGCTATTACAAAGCATGTCTGTAGCAGTGAATTACCCCAATAAAACCCTGCAGTCCAAGCACTCGGAAAAGGGCAGGATCCTGTTTCTGGCTGGGGGCTCGGTCTTGTTAAGATGAGAGGCTGTCAACATGTGAGAGTCGTGTGTTGTTGCATATTTCGGGTGCTGGCATCGAGAATGTCATGCTAGCAATGTGACATCTTTTTAAGACCGGCGTTCTCGTGTAAAACGAAGCCTGTGGGACGCGTGTTCCTTCGTGGAAATGTGAGCAAACAGGGTCACGGATCCGCTTTTGTCCTGCAGTACAATGTCACATAATCAACAACCAGCCAGGGTCAAAGTTAATTAACACTCATTATCACGCCATCTCAAAATACACTCGTGTGTTTGGTGCAATCACAGTGCAACACTGATCTAGTGGAAGAAATAATAAGGCTATGGTCTGTACAATATGGCAATACTTTCATTCTATTAATAATAATAATTTTATAAATTATGCAAGGCATATTGGCCATATAAATGGAATAGAGTTAAATTAATGAATTGGCTTTTCGCTTAGTTTGGATGGATTGTCAGCAATTTTAAGAATCTCACTTCGGAAAAAACAAACATTTTAATGAACTGATATACATACTGGGGAGAAAACCTTCACCATCCTAATTGAAATCAATGGGTTCACATTTCATTGAGCTGAAGTATACGTAAAACCCATAAGCGGCACTTCAAAATTTCAGTCAATGATCTTTAATATGAGACAGGTGCATCTCATTGTTAAATTATTCAGAGTGTCAGGCCTTGAAAGCCCAGCGGAGGTGCCGATTGAGCGCCATTCAGATAAACGAGAATTCTAGTGTTTTAATTGTCAAAAGAGGGCCGGCCCACTGGGCCTTTATGTCCGTTCCGTTCCTTTCCAGCATGCAACATGAAACGGGTCCTAGGCCACCTTTAAGTGGTTTCCACGGAAACTGCCCATCCCCTAGAGAGGTTTGCATAATTAAATTAAGGCTCTTTTGTATGTCAATTAATTAAAAGCAGGGACAGGTCTTTAAGGCTCTGCACTCATCAGAATCGCAGGTCGCGATGGATGGATTCAGAATGTTTTCACAACCGTGGCACCTCAATAAATTACCCCCATCACACTTTATTTGCGCTCTTTGTGTGGGAAAAAATATCGACGAGAGTTTTAAATAATGAAGGAGAATAGGACAGCCTTTAAAGACACAGTGAGGTGCTTCACAAGAGTACTTGAGCACTTGAACGCTCCTGCACTCTCTCGAGTGTTAACGTCTCTTGTAATTGTTGTCACCAACACTTTTGAAGATGTGTATTAACGCCACAAAAATGGCTCTCTGGTGTTTACCTGTTATTCTGTTGTGACTTGAGTGCTCTAAAGATGAACACACGCCACGAGCAAGAGATGGGCAGGTGCGCGTCCGGATGTCACATGGAGAGAGTGACTGTGCCCCTGTCTGTCAGCAGCTGGTCATCTCCTGTCCACATCCCTGAAATGGCCACTGACAGCTGCCGTGCCGTTTATGACTGGCTCACAGCGGCCCTCTCCACTCGCAGTGCTTTTAAAGTGACAGCGCATGTTATCTGCCTGCTTCATTGAAGAGGTTGTGTTTGTGATAAAAAATTATGTGTGAAAAGTAAATGGTGCCTTTTTTCTTGTCTCCTCTTTCACATCAGGTGTTCGACTGGACCGTGTCCGCGGCGGAAGACAGAAGTACAAACGCCGGATAGATGCGGAAAACAGCCCCTATTTGAACCCTCAACTGGCTCTGCCGGCCAAAAAGCCATGTAAGGACTGCATTGTGTGCATTAAATGTCTTCAAATTTATAAAGAGATTTTTTTTTCTTATATTTTTTAAAGGGATTTTTGTTCTCACACACATACAAACACTTATTTAAGTCATACTATCAACATATTTTAAATTTAAAAATAAAAGAATTTAAAAATTTAAAAATCTATCTATCTATCTATCTATCTATCTATCTATCTATCTATCCATTTACCCATCTATCTATCCATTTACCCATCTATATATTTTTCCCCATATAGTGAAAACGTCTCGGGTTATGACTATAACCCTTGTTCCCTGAGAAGGGAACGAGACACTGCGTCGATAAAATCGACTCTTTGGGGACGCTCCCTAAGCGTGCGCCTCTGAAGTATGAATGAAACTAATCCAATCCTGATTGGTGTTGCGTCGTGACGTAACATGTGACGGCATACCCGGAAGTATAAAAGTGACGCTGTCACAACACACACTAGCCTCGCGATGAAGCAAGACGCTCAAGGGTCTGAAAAGGGGGCGTGGCAACACGACGCAGTGTCTCGTTCCCTTCTCAGGGAACAAGGGTTATAGTCATAACCCGAGACGTTCCCTATCGAGGGAACTCAACACTGCGTCGATAAAATCGACTCTTTGGGGAACGAGTACCCACTAGGCCACGCACCGAACAGACCCGCCCCAGAGTGAAACTGATTAGGCACTCAGCAAGGGCCGAGTACGTGTGCACCGGGCGTACTGGGAAGGCTGAGACTGTAAAACCTGATGAAAGTATGCGGGGTAGCCCAGCCGGCTGCCTCACAAATCTCCTGCAGAGGTACTCCCGACAGAAGGGCCCTAGAGGAAGCCATGCCTCTAGTCGAGTGAGCCCTTAAGGCCAAAGGTGAAGGAACCCCACGCACCTTGTAAGCCTCAGTAATAGCCTGGACAATCCAGTTACTTATAGTTTGTTTGGTCGCCGGGAGCCCCCTCTTAGGTGACCCAAAGCATACTAACAACTGGTCAGATCTTCTCCAAGAAGCAGACTTTTCCAAGTATACACTCAAAGCTCTGACGGGGCAGAGCAAGTGAAGCCTCTCTTCTCCCGCCGACACATGAGGTGGAGGATGGAATGCCTGAAGGACTACAGAGCGAGCCGTACTCGAAGGAACTTTAGGCACGTAGCCCGGACTCGGGTGCAAAAAGGCCTTTACTTTGCCAGGGGCAAACTCCAAGCAAGCTGGCGTTACCGCCAGGGCCTGGAGATCTCCCACCCTCTTAAGAGAGGTAATCGCTAAGAGAAAGACCATTTTCAACGTTAAGTCCTTAGGCGAAGCCGACTCTAAAGGTTCGAAGGGAGCGAGGGACAACCCTTCCAGAACTATTGCCAGATCCCAGGCAGGCACCCTGGACCTGATCGCCGGCCTCATCCTCCAAGCACCACGGAGAAACCTAATGACCAACTGGTGCCTCCCCAGAGGTCCACCATCTACTGGCGCGTGGAAAGCCGAAACGGCAGCCACGTACACCTTAAGAGTGGACGGGGAGAGACCCGCAGAGAAACGATCCTGAAGGAATTCCAGAACTGAAGCCACTGGGCAGTTTACTGGATCCAACCTTCGTTCTCCACACCAAGTGTGAAACACCTTCCACTTGAGGCCATATAATCTCCTGGTAGATGGGGCCCTAGAGCTAAGTATGGTTTCAACCACCTCAGCTGATAAGCCAGCATTTAGGTACTGAACCCCCTCAGAGGCCAGACCCACAGCTTCCACAACTCTGGGCGAGGGTGGAAGATTGTGCCCTCCGCCTGAGACAATAGATCCCTCCTCAGAGGAATCGGCCATGGCGGAGCTATGAGGAGTGATATTATATCCGAGAACCATACTCGTGTCGGCCATCTCGGGGCAACCAGAAGTAGACTGATGCCCTCTTGACGGACCCTCTCCAGGACCCCTGGGAGCAGAGCGATCGGGGGGAAAGCATACAGGCGAAGCCTCGGCCAAGCCTGTACCATGGCATCCAACCCCAGTGGGGCTGGATGTGAGAGGGAGAACCAAAGTGGACAGTGGGACGTCTCTCGAGACGCAAACAGATCCACTTCCATCGGTCCGAACCTCTCCCATATCGACTTCACCACATCCGGATGAAGTCTCCATTCCCCGGGCCTCAGCCCCTGCCTCGACAGGATGTCTGCTCCCCGATTCTGAACCCCTGGGATATACATTGCCCTTATTGACAATATCTTTCCCTGGGACCAAAGGATAATCTGATGCGCCAGTTTGCACAGAGGGCGCGATCTGAGTCCCCCCTGTCGGTTCAGATAGGCCACCACTGACGTATTGTCTGTCCGTATAAGGACGTGGCGACCCTCGATGTCTGGGAGGAAGCTCCTCAAAGCCTTGAATACCGCCATCATCTCCAGGCAATTTATATGCCAAGTGCGATGATGGTCCTGCCACAGACCCCTGGTAAAGCGGCCGTCCATGACCGCGCCCCAGCCCGTAAGGGAGGCGTCTGTCGAAACGGTTTCCCGGCGACATGACACCCCCAACACTGGCCCTTGGGATAGGAACCAAGGCTTCTTCCATATTTGCAGAGACTGAAGGCACTTGCGCGTTACTCTGATCATACGGAACGGATTTCCTTTGGGTGAGAACCCCTTGGTCTTCAACCACCACTGGAGGGGCCTCATGTGAAGGAGGCCCAGAGGAATAATGTTGGATGCCGCTGCCATGAGGCCCAGCATCCTTTGAAAGTGTTTCACAGTGACGGCCTGACCTAGCCTCACCCTGGACACCATCGCCAGAATTGACTCGATACGTGCGGGAGACATACGTGCCTGCATTGTAATCGAGTTCCACACGACTCCCAAAAAGGTCGTGCCCTGGGACGGTTCTAGCACACTCTTCTTCAAATTGAGTCTTAACCCCAATTTTTGAATATGGCCAAGAACGACATCTCGATGCCGAACTGCCATCTCCCGAGACTGGGCCAAAATAAGCCAGTCGTCGAGATAATTCAATACGCGAATCCCCTGAAGTCTCAGTGGAGCAAGGGCCACGTCCATACACTTGGTAAATGTGCGGGGAGAGAGTGCTAGGCCGAACGGAAGAACCCGATATTGGTATGCTTCGCCCCCGAAAGCGAACCTCAGGTATCTCCTGTGACAAGGAAGGATGGAGATGTGAAAATAGGCGTCCTTCAGATCTATCGTGACAAACCAGTCCTCGGATCTGATTTGACTCACGATTGTTGGAATGGTCAACATTCTGAATTTGAACCTTCTCAGAGACCGGTTCAACACCCTGAGATCCAAAATTGGCCTTAACCCCCCATCCTTCTTTGGAACTATAAAGTACCGGCTGTAAAACCCGGACTCCCTGTCTACCGGAAGAACACGTTCTATGGCTCCTTTCGACAGCAGAGTCTGTACTTCTTGTTCCAACACCTGAGCCTGCTCTGGGACCACCGCAGTGAGCACCACCCCAGAGAACTTGGGGGGGCGGTGCGCGAACTGCAGTCTGTACCCAACTCGTATTATCTGCAGGACCCATGGAGATATGTTGGGAAGATGATACCATCCCTCTACAAAATCTGCTAAGGGTACCAGCCTCTCGAGGCTGGCCTCTGGTGTCTTTTCGCTGGAAATTGATGCGGCCCGAAGCGCTGTTAACGGCGGACCTGCATCTTTTCCTAGAGGGCCCCGTTGTGAGAACAACCTCGGTTGTCTCACTGCGGAGGGGGCAGCCCTCTGAAGTCCTGCCTTGGCTAGGACCTCTTTTCCGAAGTCCTCTTAGCCTGAATGACGTCCCTCAGGTCGCCCCTCTGGCTGGAGGACTTCGGTTTTTGGGAGCGTTTCCTCTGTTGCCAAGACCCCGGAGGGGGGCTCTAGAGGAAACGCTCTCCTTCTGCTCTGCCCTGTGGGAGGAGCTGGCTGATGGCTGGGGCTGATTGCTTTGCCCCCCCCTACTAGATTTGGCCTTCGCTTTCCGGGGGAGGTACTGCTGGAACGCCGCAGATTGTTTTCTCGACTCCTGAAACCAGTCGACAACCGAATTAACGGCGTCGCCGAACAGGCCAGAAGCCGAAAGCGGCGCATCCAGCAGGAAGGACCTATCCTTTTCTTTAATACCGGATAAGTTCAGCCACAGATGCCTCTCCGTGGCCACCATGGCCGCCATAGAGCGGCCAATAGCGCTGGCCGCTTCCCTAGTGGCCCGGAGAGACAAATCTGCGGCCTTCCTCAACTCCGCGACATCTTCAGGAGTAGGCCCCTCCCCCTCATCCAAATCTTTCAGGAGGTCGGCCTGGTATGCCTGCAAAATCGCCATTGAGTGCAGACACGAACCAGCCCGACCCGCCGCCATGTAAGCCCTGCCCACCAATGCAGATGTCTCTCTGCAGGGCTTACTAGGCAACACCGGGGTCTTTAGGGAAGACGCCGATTCGGGAGAGAGATAGCTCGCTAAAGCCTCCTCCACCTTCGGCATCTTCCCATATCCCATATCTCGAGCCCCCATAACATTGCTGTAATCTATTACATTGGGACTCGAAATACGGGACGAATGCGGTCTTTCCCACGTTCTCGAGATCTCTTTATGGAGATCAGGGAAAAACGGCAGACCCCGGCGGTGAGGCTGTGACCTGCGCTGCAGGTAACGCTCGTCCATTTTACTGGTGACTTGCGTTTCCTGCTCATGTTGTGGCCAGCTGATGTTTAGTCTGGCCACAGCGCGTGTCACAACCTCCACCAGCTCCTCATAACCCAGGCCGCGTGATGGCGTGCTGAGATCACGGTCGTCCGCATCGATGCTGAGCACGTCCCCTTCCTCAGAAGTAGACAGCTCAAGCACCGGGACCTGATCGCGGGTAGGAGAAACCGCAGCGCGGGCTCCCACACCACTCTCAGAGGCTGCGGGACCAGCCGATGGCGAGCGAGAAAATGCCTCAGCATTCTCACTCTCCTCCGCCAGATCCCGCTGCGAACCCCAGGATCTCAGTCGCCGCATCGCCTCGACATATGCGGGACCGGAACCCTGGGGAACGCGAGCCTGACCGTGCTCGTCAAAGCACGCCAGCCGGGAGCGCAGCACTCTAATAGGCAAAGCCTCACACATTTCACAAGCAGCCCCCTCGAGAGCTGCCCGTGCGTGCTGCACTCCCAAACAATACACACATAGAGAGTGTGCGTCCCCACCCGTGATGAAACGAGGGCAGGGATGCACACACCTCTTGAATTGTTCACTGGCCATACTTTCTTTCAATAATAAGACAAACAACACCAAATAAGACAGACAGTTTCAACATAAAGCGCTTGCTGAAGAGCGAAAGCTAGTGTGTGTTGTGACAGCGTCACTTTTATACTTCCGGGTATGCCGTCACATGTTACGTCACGACGCAACACCAATCAGGATTGGATTAGTTTCATTCATACTTCAGAGGCGCACGCTTAGGGAGCGTCCCCAAAGAGTCGATTTTATCGACGCAGTGTTGAGTTCCCTCGATAGGGAACCAATGGAGTCCAGTGTTGTTTTGGACCCCATTCACTTTCATAACATGGACAAAACAGTTCAGACATTCTTCATATAAACTGAAAAGGTGGTTCACTCACAAATAAAATTTATTTTGTGAGTAAACAGTTTTCATTTTTGAGTCAACCGCCTTTTCAGTTTATTTTATTTAATGATAATAAAAACTATAAAATACAGTATATTTTTCTATTATCTCAATGTCACCTCACAGTAGCCTTATTTCCAATGCACCAGGAAATTGGACACGAAACACGAAAGACAGAGATGTAGTAGTTGACAGAGCCAATCGACAAAGATGTTTGTGTGCGTGTGTGTGTTAGGGGAGAGCGAACGAGCACGAGAAGGAGAGAGAGGCCTAATCCGGATTAAATCCAATCTGGCAAAGACATCAAACCCACAATACCGGAGCTTCCGCACTGTCAGACTGCTCTGCAAAGAGACAGCACGGCAGCGCTTAACAGATTTGTCCCTAAAGCCTTTTTACTTAATGGTAGCATATTCTCCTGGAATACAATATGCTTTTATGCATGATAGCAGCGGAAATAATCTTAATTATTACAGTGGTTGAAATCATTTTAGGAATACAGCGCTCTGAATAACCTTCTGCCTAATCCTACTGATCCCTCCTTCCAGGTTCAGGCTTATTTCCAGCCAGCGAGAGCAACTTATTTGAAAGCTTATTCTCTGTCCTGTGTCCAGCTCCCATTCACTTTCATTACTTCATTTTTTCTCCCTTGCTATTGTATGTTAGCAAGATGTGGACTTTTATTTAGAGACAGTATAATGGGGAGGAGACGGACAACTCGGACGAAAAATAAACAGGATGAATCTCTCAATATGTCGTTCTTCCCGCTTTTCAGTTGAAAGAGACATTTTCAATTCAAGTTTCTTTAATCTAGAATGGACAGCTATCTACAATGGAAGCTGCATTTATATTACCATTGTTACCATAATTTATTGCTCCTTAATATAATATGTTTTGAAACAATTTTGAAGATTTATTTGTTTTTTTACCCGATACCTACACAGAAAATAGCTGTTTGGGGGCATTTCCAAGTTTAAGACTTGCCTTCGCTTAGGTCTAAATTAAATTATGGATTCATTTTTTTTTTTCTCACATAAATCCTCACTGATGGCTTTTTATCAGCTGTTAATCCAGAAGATGTCCACACTTGCATGGGCGTACCGACAAATGTTCTGGTTTTGTGAGGCGTCTTCGTATTTTAGTGCAGTGTCCCATTAATAGAGGCTTTTATCAGTCTGTCTCTGAGCTCTTTGTATCTTTTCTCACTTTCCTTTCTATCTCTTTCTCTATTTTCACAAACAGAGAGGAATAGCCATGGTCCCAGCCTACCTGATTGATTATTTGCACATAACAAAGGCATGGGGTTTGGAAATTGGGTTGCATTGATTCTAATTAGGGAAACATTAAATAAGATTTACCTAGAGATAGCACTTACAGGCTCCCCCACTCCCTGGAGTAGCAGGGCTGGGCTGATTGATCCATTTCTTCCCCTCCTCCAACACACACACACACACCTCAGAAGTTAATGCTTTTTAATTTAGTGATCCGTTTTGTCCTCGGACCTCAAACACATATGCAATGGGCTTAAAGTGATTCATCTGGGCCTTGCAAACACACAGATATACACACAAAGATTGCACTGCTGTATTTGGCTTCTGTCTGTCTATCATATTGCATTGACATAGATGATTAAACAGCAAATGAATTTCATTTAACTGTAAGGGTGTCGCTAATTACCTATTCCAATCTCCCTCACCTCCGCAATCTGATCTGAAATGTGTGTCCTTTCTCTCATTAGATTGACAGAATACCCCCAACACAAATCTTTATATACACAATTCAGCGTTAGCCACAATGAGAATCAAATGGATTTGAATTTTTTTTTTAAATATCGTTTTCTACAGCAGTAGTTCTCAACCTGGTAGGTCACGGCTCCAAATTTTATTATTTTTTTTATTTTATTTTTTAATTATTTTTATTTATTTATTGCAGTTTTATTTGGTCAACATTAAAAGCCCCCATTGCTAAAAATCGCAAATTGTAAATATTTTTATATAATATAAATATATATTTATACAATGTACATTTTCCCAAACATAAACCGTTTTCATTAAAACATTTTTTTTTTTTTTGATAAAAAAAAAAACTGGGTATTGAAGCAAAACAGGTTAAGAAGCACTGCTCTACACCATTAAACTCTCTCCTAACATATGAACACCACTGAACACTGACTACATCCTGGTTCCAGATCTGCTTCAGATCAACAACAGCCCGTTTATTTTCGATTACATATGACACCAGGCATTGATTCATAGACCAAAAACAGCTTTTTCAGTACCACAAACATCATCTTTCTGCCCAAAGAAAACAACTCTGCCAATATTTCATGTTATCTGATTGCTTTCTTTGCTACTGAACCAAACACTATATGACCTTGCTGGTATAATCCCAATCTGTTTCTTTGTTCTCCCCTCGGTGTTCAAATACAGTCCCCTTTGGCTGCCTTGCAGATAACAAGATTGTGTCTCACTTGCTGGTGGCGGAGCCTGAGAAGATCTACGCCATGCCTGACCCCACAGTGCCCGACAGCGACATCAAAGCCCTGACCACGCTCTGCGACCTGGCAGACAGGGAGCTGGTGGTCAACATTGGCTGGGCCAAGCATATTCCAGGTAGGACATGAGCAGAGATACACATTATATGCAACTACAGGTAAACTCTCAGTGTGAACCGTGGATTGGATGTTCTGATGTAAGCCAGTTATTTTATACAAGTTTGAAAATATTTTAAAAGGTTACATAGGATATCTTTTTTTTTAAATGTTAGAACAAAAAAGAAAGTAGTTCAATAATACATTGGGGTCCCGAAATCTGAAAATGTTTCTATTAATTACAAAAGAAATGCTTCTATTCCATCACAAATTACATTGTCAGCATTAATATGAATTGAGTTATCCAGCATGATTTGCGAATGATCCAAAGAAAGCAAAAAAAATAAATAAAAATTAAAATATATATATATATATATATATATTCTTATGTTTAGAAATATATAAAAAAAAACAGATGACATATTTATTAATTTACCATATTTTTTCTTTGTTTCGTATATATTTTTCTGCATCCTAAAACAGTTTGGATTTAAATTACATTTAAACCTGAAAATAAACCAGTATTATTAGTCTCAGAATTTTGTATTTCACTGTATGTGCAAAATCTGTAGGAAAAAAACTAAGTAAAGCACGTTTGAGTAATTGCTGTTTTCAGCAAGAGCAAAACACTATGCTGAAACAAACAAAGCTGTGCCTTGTCAATCAAGGACATTTGCCATCACCCAGGCCACCCGTGGCACAGTCCTTAGGTCAGCATTTTTCCACCCTCTGTGACAGCAGACAGGGATCAATTTGTTTAGTTTTAGCTTAATTCCTTCCTCTGCATAGCACGATATCCATAGGAGTGGAGGGCAGGCATTTTCGGATGCTGTTTCAGCCAATCGGCAGCCTTGTTGAAAGGATTCTTGACATTAGCCATGAACGATAATGGCATGACTGACCATGATTGAAGTGTCCTCCCCTCCTCTCTCTCTCTCTTTCCGCTGCTGCTTATTGCCCATCTCCACAAGACAGAATGAGGAGTTTCCAGTAATCTGCTTAACAAAGCCCTTCTTTTGCATTTAATCTGAGCCGGCCCTGGTCACAGAGAGTGGCGGCCCACTTCATCCCTCAATGTTTGAAAAGAGCTTCCCATAGGTGACTGACTCTGAAAAAATAAGGTGAAGAGAATAAAGCTCTGAAATCAGACAATAGTAAGAGTGGTTAACTTAGAAAGAAAGGAGGAAGAGACTGAGTGGTAGTTTCACGCCATGTGAACATACTCACTCACATGCCCAGATTCTTTTATGAGATTTATTAAACCACTTTTACCTACAGAACAATCCAGCCTTTGAACCAAAACATGATAGCACCTTGATTAGCTGCACAGGAAGTTGTGTTGTAGTTCCCTTTGTGCTGTAGATATGACTGTGCTAATACTGGCCCAGGGCAATTGTGCCACACAAGCCATAAAACGGGCTTAAAGCTCATCAGAGTGCCAATTTCCTGCCAGGCACAAGATGCAGGATTGTGAGGTTATTTCTGCTGCTCCATGCCAGATTGACCCTGACTTGCCCTGTGGATTTAATGGGATTTTCCCTGTGTGCAGGAAGCTACACCACTGGAGCTTCTGGAATGTGGCACATTTATGTAGGCTATAGTATAGTATATCAGACTATACTGTAGTGTAATGACACTACGCTTCGATTTTTTTAGGATGGATTAAAGTGATTAAAAGTGTTTTTTTAAAAGTCAGTTTATTTGTCATTGGCAGCAACAAAACAAAAATCATTATTTTATAGCACAGTACAGTATACCATACGGAATGTATGAGATTTCCTGTCATTTATTTTTCAGGCTAAGAAGTGTCTGTTCTGTTTCAGTCTGTATATGAACTTCTGCACACTCGGTGTGTATGCATTTGCACATTCATAGCTTTTTTTTTTTCCCTGCGCAGTGTTCGTATGTGTTAGTTCTCTTCATAGGCTGCGTCTGTTCAGAAAGCAAACAGAGGAGTCTCTCGATTGGCAGTGTACATTTGGCGTCAGAGTTCACATTCTATGAACGATTGCTCAGCAGAAGAGAGATGATTGTATGATTAGACCTCGGCAGGCAATTCTGTGTCTGTTTGAAGAGGACGGAGCCCCCCTCATCTCCGGAGCAGGTATTCCTGCGGCTCTCATCTCCTCGTGCTCCTTGCGCTCCGATTGCTACTGTATCCTGATGAAAACTTCAGTATAAAGTTCCATTCCTACTCATGACTTTTTTTTATTTACCCTCACACAATCAGACAGACACGCAAGGCCTCCTTTTAGCCTCCCCTAACCCTCCATGTGCCCATTCCTCTCTTTTCAGACTAGTTTTATCTGTACGTTTTCTATGGTACAGTAATTTTTTTTAATCAAATTGATGAAGGCCTCCATTCTCCCCGAGAGCCCAAACCAATTTATGGCTCATGATACGGCGGCTATGTTGCTAACAGACGTAACAAACTGTCAGCCTCTCGCACAGAAGCTAATTTGAAGTCATTAGGTGTGCAGCGTACGGGCAACAATTTGTTACGGTGGTTAGGAGCGCCGCTGACATTTCTGAGCGCCTTCGCTTACGATCTGTCCTAGGCGAAGAGCAGGCAAATTGTAAACTAATTTAAACATCACTCAGTATTACTGGAGCTGCCGCTGCGGAGAGCTGGCGGATAATGAAGCAGTCTGTGTTTTGCGGAATAGAGTTAAAGACGCCTCGACGGCAGCTCCCTCCGCTGGCGGCGCAGACACAGACGCTCCTTTCTGATTGCTTTTTTAATAGTTCTCCCCTTCTCCCTCCTCTGATCATTTACATGCTCACATAGGCCATGAAAACATTCGATATGGTTTACAAACACACGACGAGAGAGGGTGTCTGAACAAAACCCTGGCGTCACGCGTTCCTGTAAGCCTGGCATTATGGACGACGGAAGGATTTGGAAATGTGATATTAACTCAATATGAGGGAGGAAAAAGGCAGAAAATGACATAATGTGGATTAGGGCGAGGAATCTCATTTGCGAGATTAAAGCATTCAGGCTGTAATTTTATTTTAGCATTTAAGCCGCAACGTGGGGAGGGGAAAGAGCAAACGTTTGTAGCTGAAAAAGCGGGTGCGGGGGGAAAAAAAAAAAAATACTTTTATCTGTAAATAGAATTAGTGTCCCCTCACACCGGCCAAGAAGAAACTGTGCTGTATTCTGCATGGGGGGTGAGTAAAGAGCAAACATTTGTTGCAGAACTTTTATCTGTAAATAGTCCCCTCGCGCCAACCGGGAGGAATCCAAATAAGTGAAAACGTGCTGTCATAATGGTTGTGACATGCCTTATCGTAACACAGCGGCACACAATGGAGGGCGGTCGCACTTGACTTGACGAGCGAGCCGCAAGAAAGGCCGGTGAACGGACCGTCGCTGGCTTTTTAGCATGACAGGACCCTCACTATTACAGGGCCCTTTATGCAGGCTGAAATTGCTCAGGCTTCTCCCATTCTTGGTCCTATCTCAGGGACTTTCTCTCTTTCTTTATTTCCCTTTCAATTTTCACTGGGACGTGGATAAGCGTGTGCTAACACAATATGATTGAGCTGTAAAATGGAACCCTGTCGACTCTAATCTCTTTTATGTAGATACCGAGGTACTGCCACACTCCACTTCATTCCTCTGCCTCCCCCACCTCCATCTTTTTTCCCTCTCTTGGCCTTCTACACCTTCCTGTCCCTCTCTCCTCTGGCCTGGCCTGTCTTGCGCTCCCTCAATTGTCAGGGCCAGTGCATTCGTAATAGGTTCAGGAGAAGGAGAGAGTCATGGAAGTCTGACTCCTCCTCAAATATCTCAGTGAGGTTTCTCGGGGTATAATAAAACGATTACGTGCTCGCCGGACGGACGTGCCGTGGGATTAGCATATTCGCACGGAAACCTTGTTAGGGAAAAAAAACAGGAGGTGCTTACTCAGTGCAATCTGCAGACGTGATTGAGGTGTCATCATTATTGGTTGACCTGTGTATACGGGGCTTAGTGGCCTGTTCTGGATACGAAAAATAGCAATTAAAGTTACCCTGGCAAAGCGTGCACAACTGCCCCAAGGCTGCAGCCATGAACGCAACTTGTGTGGGGGTTTTATTTATTTCATTCTGGCTCTGGCTCTGGCACTTGGTGGACGATGAGACGTCTTAATCAGGAGCTGAGCAAGGGATTTATCTAAAGCACAGGTTTGCTTTCTCCGTGAGCCCTTTCCCAGCCTCTAATCTTCAGGATGGAAAAACAAACTGGAGATAGAGGTCTTACAATCACTCTTGGTGTTGCAATACAGTGCTGAAATAATGCACATTCCACACCAGTGTTTCCTATATGTGTGTATATAACATATACATATGTATGTAATAATAATAACACAATAAAACATTAAAATAAATAAATCGATAGTAACAATAAAATATATTACCAAAATAAAAATAGTATTTATATGTATACAAACATTTAATATACAGTATACGGAATATATTTAAATAGTATATTATATAGTTTTAATATATGTACATTTATTGTTGTTATTATTAATATTGAAAATATAATTTTTTTTTTTTTCTAATTTTGTAAATGAACTGAACTAAGTATAAATTGTGGAATGAATAACCTATGAATAGATAATACTTTTGGGGAAAAAGTGTTTTAAATTATGTACATGGACGTGTTATATCGTTGGCCAAATAATATAATATGACAGAAAATAAAGATTGATAGTTCATTTAGTGAGTCATATGTTAATTCAGTGACCAATTCAGTGAGTTTATTCAAAGGATTTGTTTGACTTAACCAAACAAATAAATTGTGAATTTGTGAGCGGTTTTTGAGTGATTTACGAACTCATGCATTGGCGGATATTTCCGGCTTCCAATGTTTATACGGAAAGGGGCGCTATTCGCATCTTCTGAAAGAGCACTGAATCTCCTGATCAAAACAGGCGAAAA